TAATTAAAGAGAAAAAAAAATCACATCTATGAAATCAAAAAAATTACTTGAGATAAAATGAGATACCTTTTTAAATTAAAATTAAAAAAGAGAAAGAGAGAAGGACTATTTGACCAACATCTCAATAGATTGAAATGCCTACAACTATTTTTCAATATTATGTTATTTTTTTTCTAACCAATAGTAATTCCAATGGATATGCCTTCTTTTTCAAGTAAATTTGAATATAAGTATAGGCTACTACATGTCTAATTTCTACTTTTGGATCAATGATTTTTTTTCTTTTAAGTTTTTAAAAATTAGGCTTTGGATTTTTAGTTGATATTGTGATTAGACTTTGATACTAAACTTCCACTTTTCATTGAGTACATCAATAAGCATTGTCATTTATATAATAGACTATGTTTAGAATTCATAGATCAATTTAGACATTGTTAGAATTTGTTGTTAATACACCTTCTACTATTACAAAGGAGTTACTATTATCCTATTCTATATTATATTATTTTTTTTATTCATATCACCTTTAATATTTGATATTTCTATTATACTAAGATTCTTTGCTATATTAATAAGATAAATATTTATTAGTATATTTTCTTTTATTTAAACAACTATAAATTTAATATTATTTCTAATATAGAAATGTACCAAATTAACGAAATGGTAAAGCCCTATGATCTCTTACAATGATTTAGTTATTTTGACAATATTTTTCTTCCTTTTTAGTTATTTCAATATTTATTCTTTGAATGAAGCTTCTATAAGATCTTATCAATAAGTAGTATATATGAAGGCTAAGTAAAGGCCATTCTCACTCTTATCAAGACCTTTCTTATATTTTAGACTTAATTTAAGATTCTTTAGTTTCTTTATAATAAAAAATCGCTATTCTAGTTTCATTTCATTTTATATCTATAACTTATATGTCTACTTTCTCCCTTTCAACTACATAATTAAATATTTTTTTTAAAAAAGATTTGTTTCAATTCATATTCTTGATACTATTTACTTTTATTACATTTGTTAGCACAACTTTGTTGTCTAAATCTTTGTCCCCACTATGTAAGATCTTATGTATTAAGGATAAAATTTATTTGTTGTATTTCAATACTCTCATTGGTTGTATCTACAAGGATTGTAGTCTTTCTAAGGATGTATCTTTTATTAAGTTACTTATTTATATATATACTTATTTATAAATAAAATTTTATTTTATTAAAAAATTTGAATCCTTATACTTCTCTTTATAATTACATTTGATGATGTATTCTTATACCATGTCTAATTTTATCTTCTAATTCTAATGCAATACTATTCTTTGTGCCTATACAAGTTAAATCAAATCTACTTAAAATATATTCATGATCTTTTTCTTGTTTTTAAAAAATCCTTTGTGAAATTGTAAAGATATATTTTAATCTTCTTTCATATTTTTTCTATTATCAATGCTTGGAAATGTACTTTGAATCTTCTTCCTAATCATTTTAGATTATATAGATTGATAATTAAATTATTTTTTCTTCACCAATATCAATCTTTTTTGTCTTTTTGTCACCTTTTTATTAGTATTATTAATA